CTTTATTATGTATCCATTGATATAAAGAGATTGTTTCTTCCCTCCCCCTTCAACTTCAAATTTACATTTTCTGGTTCCCATCTTCTTTCTCCCAAAATCTAGATGTAGCACCCCAATCAACTTTCCAGTTCATTTCAATGATTAAAGACAGCTCCTTCATAAGTACTCCAGTTGGCCACTTTAGCACAACCTCTTTCATATTTTCCAGCATTCTTCATGGAGTTCATCACCCCCATGGGTTTGATTTATTTCACCAGTGTCTTCTTTTCTCATATATTCTATTTTATGTTCTATTCTATTCTAATATATAATATATTCTGTTCGAATTTGTTCTCTTCAAAACTCGACTTTCTAAAGACAGTTATATTTTTTCTATTTTATTCTATTCTTTTATATTCTATTATAATCTATTCTGTTCAAATTTCACATTTCGGAAGACAGTTATATTCTTTTTTATTCTAATCTATTCTTTTAAATAGTATTCTATTCTTTTCTTTGATTCGAATATGACTTTCTTCTGAATTTTGTTTCTTGGGATGATTCATTACTAATGTAATTCAGAAATTCGGAGGCATCCAAATGCCCAAATAATGAAACATGTCCAAATTCAATTTCAGAACGAAATGGACATGTCTAACTCCCACCATTCCACTCCATCCACTTCTCATCTCCCCTTCACTTTCTTTCCCTTCATTGAGCACATCGCCCCATCCATTTAGTGTTCTCACATTCCTGTGATGTGTGTTCCATCTCACATCCTAGCAATTCTCTTCGTCACTTTCATCCTCCCCTAGGTCTGCCCATGGTTCCCTCCCATAGTCTTCCATGTTTGGCGCCTATTACACATTATAAACTCGGTACATTAGCATGTTTAGTTGTAGCCTCAACCAGCTGCTGAACATGACCATGTTCCCTATAGATTCTCAGTAAGTATGCATCCTGCATTCCCACATTAATCCATTTCTATTTCACTTCCCACATTTTTTTGGTGAATTTCTTGATACTTACATATCACCAACCAGAGTCCATACCATTTTTCTCAAAGGTAGATATTTCACATTTTTCCATTAGTTTTTTTTTAAACATATACAGTATGCAGGTGCAGTCTACAGTCATAACTGCAGGTGGTGCTCATCCATAACGGCAATGCAGCTAGAGGAGGAAGTCAAAACTGGATTTCTCTATGGCTTCCTTGGTCCCCTGCAGCAGTGATCTGGTTGGTTACGGTGGATCCAGGTGACCCTGGAGGCTATCTTGGGTAAATCACAATCTTTATAAGTCCCTGCACCAGGATTTTGGCACGCATTCTTGTGAGTAGGTAGTGCTGGAACAGATCACCTCTCTGGCCGCAACAGCACTAGCAGTAGGGAGAGGTTCTGGCAGAGTAGGGAAAGCATAGGGCCTATGTCTGATCTTCAGTAAGCTTTTCTCTGCTTTCCTTGACAGACGCTATCTTCAACTTGGGCCTTCACACTGCTGACTCACTAATGTGGCACACCCTACTGCAACCAGAGACTCTGTGTGCTTTCTGCTGCCTCACCATGCTGCAACTACCCAACATTTGGTGGCACTTGGCAGGATATGCCCCTATTTGTAGCCAGTGTGGAAGGAGGAATGGGGACCATTATGGCACCAGTGGGAGTGGCCTTAGCTTTTGTAACCAAGTGTAATGGGTTCAACATTTCACTGTCTGAATGGGAGGAGAGACTATAGAGTGCTGTGTGCCTGTATCAAGCCCCTGCTAGACTGATCATGAAGATGGCCATCAACTCTCTGGAGGATGATCCCTGCAGAGCAGAACCTGTGGAAGCAAAAGAAAAGAAGGATGTGCATGGCTCTGCTGATATCGTTGCCTCTGACAAACTATTGAGAGACCAGTTTGTGGTGGTTGAAGGCCAGCCCTATGAGGAGATCCCTGCATGAGCAAATAAAAGCACAGCTCGCCCTCTCCTTCAATGATACCGTAGTGGAGGAGGCAGTGGTGCAAGAGAAAATGCAGAAACAAGGATAGCGGTAACCAAGACGCACGAACAACTGCCTTTGAGGGAGGAAGCCTTGGCCTCATCCCCCCTTTTGGCAATGCAGACCACCCCAAGGGAGCTCACCCAGACACTGGTGTCCATGAAACAGGAAATGTCTGCATTCATGGGCAACACAGTGGCTAAATGGTTAGCACTTCTGCCTGGCAGTACTAGGGTCATTGGTTCAAATCCCAACCACTGCACCACCTGCCTGAGGTTTGCATGTTCTCCCTGTGCCTGTATGGGTTTCCTCTGGGTACTCCAGTTTCCTCCCATACTCCAAAGACATGCTGGTCAGTTAATTAGCTCCTGTCTAACTGTAAGTTATGGACCTTAGAGGGTTAGGGACTGATGTGAATGTACAATATATATGTAAAGTGCTTTGTAAATTGACAGCAGTATATACATACCTGTAATATATAAACATTCAAGCATGAGCAGTCACACCACTCCAAAGGTGACAATCCGCTACAAAAGGGGCCTGCATTAAGTGCAGAAATTATGGTGGTGTGGCTGTTTTGAACATTTAGCCAGGAACTGCTGCAGGCCTGAATCCAAAGGCAACTGCAGGTTAAACTAGGGGCTCCTGAGGCTGAGGAACGATCCCTGGGACCAGCATCCCAAGGTACCATTAGACCAACTACAGTTGCACCCAGTCCAGTGGCCAATGCCCTGATCAATGGGCAAGAGGTCCCCTGTTTGATTGACATGCAGTTCTGAAGTGACTGTCATGAAATATGATTTCTATGGTCAGAGGTTCAGGACTCATAACCAACTGGACCCTTCCTGGCTGTCCCTTAAATCTACCAATAACCTGCCCATCCTGGTGGAAGATGTCACCTGGATGAAGATTCAGATAGAAGACCAGGTGATAGAATGAGTGGGGGTTGTGTTGATTTGCTGTCCAGTAAGCTTAGCAATGTCCTGGGCATGAACGTGTTTAAGGACTTGAACTTGCTCCACTCGCTAGCAAAATGTGAGCATTCAGACCAGCGAGCACAGGGCTGTTGCCTGGGAGCTGTCTGGCTCTACATGATCAGACCCTTTGAGGTCTACCAGTGAGTAGCCAAGAGACAACCTGAACAGATAGGTGTGGTCCACACACTCCCCAAACAAAAATTGATCCTGGCATCCCTCCAAGGAGGTATTTTGGTCTCTGCCCATTGGGGCTCACAAAAAGCTGCAAGGATCCACAGTAATAGTAGAGCCATGCGAGGACACGGGAGTTCCAAGGGAGTGGTTGACAGCCAGCACAGCCAGCCCAAAGTGCATAAAGGGAAGAGTCCAGCGTATCATTTTGGGAACCTCCCCAATCCCACTCCCTAACCACACCACCACTGTAGATAACTGGACATACTGTTTCAGGACTATCCTTTTCCCCAACAGCAGCTCCTACACCAGCTACTTGAAAAGCATCTGCTGGTGTTCCCAACTAGCTCTAAGGATTACAGATATACCGAGGCCATAGACCATCCTATTCATACTGGGGTCCTCTGACTGCCGCTTCCCCCTAGCTCTTTGCCAAGAGGTCAAGGATCTGATCCGCACATGCTACAGAGTGGGGTGATCTGAGAGAGTCGCAGCCTATGGGCCACGCCAGTTGTCCTGGTGTGAAAAAAGATGTAAGCCTATGGTTCTGTGTGGACTATCACAAGTTACTCTGGGTGGAGCAATCCCTTATGGCTCTGGGCCAAGCCAAGTTCTTCTTGATGCGTGATCTGGTGAGAGGTTACTGTATTAACATTATACTGTATGTGGTGTTACTGGAAAGTGCTGGTACGGGAACAAGACTGTGAGAAAACCTCCTACATCACACCCCCGGGTGTATTCAAATTTAACTGTATGCCCTTTGGGCTGAGCAATGCCCCAAGTATGATCTAGCGGTTAATGGAGGGGTGTCTGGGGGATTTCAATTTTGAGAGTGTGTTATTCTATATCTAGACAACATTATCATCTTCTCCAATTTATTTGAGAAGCATGTACAATATCTGGACTGGGTGCTTGTAAAGAACCCAAAATATGAAAGAGGTAGCAAGCTGGAGCCAAGGTGGGAAAGCACCCCTTATCAGGTGGAGAAACATCCTTTTTCCTCTAACACCAGTGTACAGTGTGGTTTCAGAAGACCCCATGCCTGTCTAAAGGCAGCTCTACTGCAACCTGTTGAGGCCATGTGTGCTCCACCAAGTTTGCAGAAGACCGAGAGGAACAGAGCTCCATAGATGTTCCACCTTTGCAGGAAGTCCCCTTCAAGTGACACCTGCCTCCCCTCAAACTAGAACATTTGTCTGCCATGAGCTATGAGGATGCCATCCCTAACCCTGTGCCCATGGACAGCCCGGAGGCCCTGCCTTCCCAGAATGCTAGCCCCATTGACTCCATGGACTCTACCAATGATGCAGCCCCTAACCTGAATGTGGGGGATGCAACTGGCTCTGCCGATCCTCAGTCACTTGGGGCTGTGGAGTCCCCAATAGAAGATGAGGACTCTGACCGTGACACCACAGGAGTCTATGTATTCTGCTACCAACTATATCTAACCATGGGCAATTACCTGCAAAGTATTCAGATTATGTTGTTTAACCATTTGCCTACCAGGCACTTTTACCCCTTACTGCCCAGTCCAATTTTCAGCTTTCAGCAACTGCGCGGTCATGGAACACTGTACCCAAACAAAATTTTTATCATTTTTTTGAGACAGATAGAGCTTTCTTTTGGTAGTATTTAATCACCACTGGGGTTTTTATTTTTTGCTAAACAATCTAAAAAACTCTAAATTCTTAGTTTGTTATAAAATTTTGTAAATAAGTAATTCTTCTCCTTCACTAATGTGCACTAATGAGGCTGCAGTGATGGGCACTGATAGGTGGCACTAATAGGCATGGACATGCATTACTGATGGGCACTGAAAGGCAGCACTGAAAGGCATATATGGCACTGATAGGCGGCACTGACTGGCACTAATAGGAACTGTTAGGCGACACTGATTGGAATGGATAGGGGGCACTGACGAGCACTGATAGGCAGCACTGATGGGCACTGATAGGCAGCACTAATGGGCACTGATAAGCAGTACTGAAAGGCAGCTGTGATGGGCACTGATATGTGGCATTGATGTGCACTGGTAGGCACTGATATGTGGCACTGGTATGTGGCATTGATGGGCACTGACAGGTGGCATTGATGGGCACTGACAGGTGAAACTGATGGGGCTACACTGATCATGAGGGCACTGATCATCAGTGCCCTGATGATCAGTGTAGATGTCCACTTTGAGTAATGCTGATAACCGGCTCTCCTCTCCTCACAAGCTATAAGCGGGAAGAGAGGACTGCCGATAACCGGCATTTCCTATTTACATGTGATCAGCTGTGATTGGACACAGCTGATCACATGACAGAGCCAACATCATCGGCTCTTTACAGTGATCAGTGATCCTCTGTGTCCCAGGGACACAGTGCACCTGGGATCGCTGTGCCGAGTGCTCCCGAGGGCGCACACGCACAGTTAGAGTGGGAGAACGTCATATGATGTCCTCCCAGAACGAGAGAACAGCCACCCTCCCTTCATTAGCTTATATGGCAAGCGGAAGGCAGTTAAGGTTTTACTTGCACTAATATCTGTGTCATTACTGGTTTTTGTTTTGTTCGATGCTGAGGACAGCATCTGTCAAAGCAAACAAAGTGTAGGCAGGTGCAGTCTACAGTCTCCACTGCAGGTGGCTCTCGTTTGTACCTGGAATGCAGCTGGTTTCTTGCTTCCCCTTGGTTACACTGGATCCAGGTGATGCTGGTGGCTATCTTGGGTCGCACGGAGTCTTTTTAAGTCCTTGCCTCCAGGTTTTGGCATGCATTTTTGTGAGTGGCTGGTGCAGGGACAGCACTAAACGGTAGGGAGAGATTTCGGGGGAGTAAGGAAAGCATAGGATTTACGTCTGATCTTCAGAAAGCTTTCCCTTTGGGGACTGACCAGCCAGGCCGCATTCTGCTCTCCATGACAGTTGCTGTCTTTAACTCTGGCCTTCACACTGCTGACTCACTCTCAGAATTGTTGTAAGTGCCCCAGTTGGGAAAGCCTCCCCGTCAAGTCTGTTGTACTGTTTTCAAGTTTTGCAATATATTGTTTTCTGCCAACGTATCACGCTGTACCTACCCAACAAGTTTTAATGCAATTTTTCAAATATTTTTAAACATGCAATAATAAAATATTCAATTTATTCAATCAAATTCGGTCTCTGGAAAAATATTAAAAGTCAGCAGTTACAAATACTGTATGCAAAACAGTACAATACAAATATATAAAAAAAGTCTCAATCATATACAGTATATACACACACACACACATACATACACACTATCACGTACCTATTGATGGAGGCCAATGGAGAGAGGGCTTCCCTTGCGGCTAAGTTCCAGACTCCCCTGAGAGTGGGACAGCGGAAATCAGGCCCAAAGTTGCACAGGTTGCCTGCAGGAGTGTTGGTTGGTGGTCCACTCAGAAGCACTTCTGGTGCACGGGGATTAGTCTGCAGACTGGAGGCATCTCTGCATGGTATGCAAGCCTTCCGGGATTTGGATGTTTTACTGGGTAGTCAGTTTGAGCCGAGGTCAGGTACCGGGTGGGAATCAGAGCAGACGTGGTCAGGTGGGATAGCCGAGGTCATACACAGAGGAGTGAGAGTATCCTTTAGCCAAGCTGAGGTCAGATCAGGGGGTCAGTAGAGCACACAAGTCCAAGTGCAAGCCGAGTCGGAATCAGGAAGTCACAGGAACAAGGCACAGGGAGCTAGAGATCATCCAGCAACCAGAGGAAGTGATGAGGCTCCTTATAAAGGCCGTCTGGCACCAGACTGAGGCTGATGTGTCCTTCTGCGGCCATGTAGAGTATTGGCAGAAATGCCAGATCTTTCAGAACTCCTGCCGTGGACAGGACCCTGACACACACACATACACACACACACACACACACACTCAGCTGCAACTTTATTAGCTGCACCTATTCAATTGCTTGGTAACACAAATTGCTAATCAGCCAATCACATTGTAGCAGCTCAATGCATTTAGGCATGTAGACGTGGTGAAAACAACTTGCTGAAGTTCAAACTGAGCATCAGAATGGGGAAGAAAAGGGATTTAAGTGACTTTGAACAGGGCATGGTTGTTGGTGCCAGACGGGCTGGTCTGAGTATTTAAAAAACTGCTGATCTAATGGGATTTTCACACACAACCATCTCTAGAGCAGGGGCGGGCTGACCATTTGTTAACTCGGGCTCTGCCCGAGGCCAGTAGGGGGCCCCATGAGATGCCCCTGGTACCTTCTTCATAGGCTTTTTTGAGTTTGGGCAAGGACACAGGGGCCCCATGATCCCCTATTGCCCGGGGGCCGCATGAGTTGTCAGTCTGCCCCTGCTCTATGGATACAGAGAATGGTCTAAAAAAGATAAAATATCCAGTAAGCAGCAGTTGTGTGGACAAAAATGCCTTGTTGATGTCAGAGGTGAATGGGCAGACTGGTTGCTGCGACATTCAGATGAGAGGGTCAGAATTCGGCATAAACAACATGAAAGCATGGATCCATCCTGCCTTGCATCAACAGTTCAGGCTGGTGGTGGTGTATGGTGTGGGGGATATTTTATTGGCACCTAATAAAGTGGCCTTGAGAATATATATATATATATATATATATATATATATATATATATATATATTGTGGGAACTCGCTTCAACTGGTAGAGCTTTTCTAGTTTAAGCACACAGCAACTCGCTTCTTTAAGGGCTTTTTTGCCCACTTTTATTTAAAGAAAGTTCAAATAACACAAATGCTTCCCACGCAGGGGTATCCACCATCAAGAAATACCAACAAAGATTCAGCCTCCTGGCTTGTACACAGTTCACTGTCTGTCTCCTGCAGACTCTTCCCAAATTATGGCCACTAGCACACAGCTAGTCTGGCTTTCACCTGACTCCAACGCAGAGACCTCCTGTCTGCCGGGGTGGAGCCCTCCTGACTCCGTCTGCCGGGGTGGAGCCCTCCTGACTCCGCCTGCCGGGGTGGAGCCCAGAACCATGGTTAGGCCTCTACAAAAAGCCCTGCACACACCTGTGCAATCAGTGTGCTGGGGGTTCTCAAAACACGGACCCCGGATTGGAGATTTCATCCCTCCCAGATCTCTTTGAAATCTCCAGGCTCCAGATCCCAAAACAGACTTAATGAGTAAATGAGGAAACTGAAAAGCCAGTTTCCTCTGCAATCCATCAACTCTCTGGAGCCCCTCAACCTGCCTGGTTGAGAATCCAGGGTTTTCAGCATTATTTTGGCCGTGGCAGGACACCACACTGCCGCAATATATATATATATATATATATATATATATATATATATATATATATACATACATACACATACAGTATATACACACACAGTTGTGTTCAAAATAATAGCAGTGTGTTGAAAGAAGTGAATAAAGCTCAAAATCCTTCTAATAGCTTTTAATTCCATACACACAAATGCATTGGGAACACTACACATTCTATTCCAAATCAAAACATGAAGAAAAATATCAAATTTTTGTTGTTCCTCTAAAAAAAATTGAAGAAAAGTGAGTGTTAGACTGTTCAAAAAAATAGCAGTGTGTGTATTCTTCTTTACAAACTCAAACATTCACTACAGTATATAAACTGAAAAATGTTTGAAGATTTTGCTTTCCTTTGAATCACTTAATTAATATTTAGTTGTATAACCACTGTTTCTGAGAACTGCTGTACATCTGTGTTGCATGGAGTCAACCAACTTCTGGCACCTGTGAACAGGTATTCCAGCCCAGGGTGATTGGACTACATTCCACAGTTCTTCTCTATTTCTTGGTTTTGCCTCAGAAACTGCATTTTTGATGTCACCCCACAAGTTTTCTATTGGATTAAGATCCGGGGATTGGGCTGGCCACTCCATAACGTCAATCTTGTTGGTCTGGAACCAAGAAGTTGCACGTTTACTGGTGTGTTTGGGGTCGTTGTCTTGTTGGATCACCCACTTCAAGGGCATTTCCTCTTCAGCATAAGGCAGCATGACCTCAAGTATTCTGATGTATTCAAACTGATCACTGGTATGTGATAAATAGGCACAACACCCTAGTATGAGAAACATCCCTATATCATGATGCTTGTGCAACCATGCTTCACTGTCTTCACAGTGTACTGTGGCTTGAATTCAGTGTTTGGGGGTTGTCTGACAAACTGTCTCCGGCCACTAGACCCAAAAAGAACAATCTTACTTTCATCAGTCCACAAAATGTTGCGCCATTTCTCTTTAGGCCAGTCAATGTGCTCTTTGGCAAATTGTAACCTCTTCAGCACGTCTTTTTTTTCAACAGTGGGACTTTGCGGGGGCTTCTTGCAGATAGCTTGGCTTCACATAGGCGTCTTCTAATCGTAACAGTACTCACAGTGTTATGGACCTGTCGGAAGTAGCCTCTAACATTCCACAGACCGGAATTCCCCAAGGCGTGGAATCTAAGCCCCGACCTGCTTGTTCACCAGGGCCCCGTGGGGATGGACTTGGAGCAGGCCGAAACCAGGTCGCGGCCCCTGGGTTCACCCAGCTGTGGTAGAAGCACTACCGGAGGTGTATAGCAGGTGAGACTCTGATGTAAGGAGGTAGAGAGAGCGGAGTCGGGCAGGCCGGGTCTGTAGCGGTGGAGGCAGAACGGTACAAAAACAGTAGACAGAAGGATAAATGGGTCACAAGCCGGGTTCGGTAACAGGAGATCAAAACGTGCAGGATTAGACAGGAGAATGGTCAGACAAGCCAGGGATCAGAGCAGGAGACAGTCAGCAAATCAAGGTCAGGCAGGGTCAGCAACAAGGCAATCTAATTCAGGAAACAGTGTACAGATAAGACCATACGGCAACTAAAGCATAGACCTGACCTGTTTAAATAGGGTGCCCTGCGCCCTCATTGGTGCCAGGCGCACATCCGTGATCGCGAGTGTGCATGCACGACCGCCGCTGCCGTCGCGGGTGCCCAGGTCCTAAAGCTCTCATGCTAGTGCGGCACTGCATACCGCGCATGCACAGACCCGTGCGGCGCGGAAAGATCCGGGGTCCCTGACATTGCCCTCCCTTACTGGCAGCCTCCGGATGCCCACCCAATTTCTCCTTTGAGGCTGGTTGCGAAGGAATTCCCGCATCAGTCTGGGAGCATGGACATTTTGAGCAGGTTCCCAAATTCTCCTCTGGCCCATAGCCTTTCCACTTGATGAGGTATTGCATTTGACCACCCCTTTTCCTGCAGTCAATAATTGCCTCTACCTTGAATTCCTCTTTCCCATCAATGTCTATGACCTCTGGAGGTCTAGATCTGATATCTAAAAAAGGTTCTGGTACTGCGGGTTTCAACAGCACACATGGAAAACGGGGTGTATTTTAAGGGATTCGGGAAGTGCTAGTTTATATGCCACTTCATTGACC